TACCGACGAGCCTCCTACCCCACCTACAAGTACTCGTCGTTCTTCCCTTACCTACCAACCGTACGACCTACCACGACCACGGTAAGTAGTGTGTGTGTGTGTGTGTGTGTGTGTGTGTGTGTGTGTGTGTGTGTGTGTGTGTGGAGGTGGAGGACTGAGAGATCTTCAGGTATAAAGAACTCCAAAAATGTTAGAAGCAGGCTGAGACTGGGTGGGAGGGTTGGGGAGTGTCATACCCCCCAACAAAGACGACAATTATCAAGTCTGAACGGGTTGGCACGAGTTTTGTACCAACCTCATTTCTTCTTTTGCACTTGCTTTTACGGAAATAATATTGCTCTCTTTGTTGTCCCCAGACTCCTTGGTTCCCCTTTAGTCTCCTCCAAAAGGTAAAACAATTTAATAAAATACATCAGAGCAAAGTAATGCAAAAGCATCCAAATAGATGCGAGAGCTATCGAAGTAGATGCGAGATGCCTGGGCTTCCCTGGGCTTTCCCCCTCCAGTTTTATTCCTGTTGAGTATCCTGCAGAAACTACTAAATTAGGGGGTCGGGGGCATGGACTTCCGGGTCAAGACGCCTCATCTCTCGGTTGCAAACAAGACAATGGAGGGGCAAAAGAGTGGACGCACTGCGTAATTATTCTCCACTGCCTCCTCCCCGCCAACTCCCGCCTTAAACCACCCCAGCCGCCCGCACTCCCGCAGCAAAGCCTGGGGACTTCAGAGGGAGTGGAAGCCAGGACTTGGAGAGCTTGGAGAGCTAGAGTAGTAATCTGGCGCTTTGCCTGTTTCCCAAGGGCGGGAGAAAGAGAGGAGGGATTTCTCCTTTGAAGTTAGGCAGGAGGGCAAAGTCCGACAGAGCCTCATCCCTCATCTTAGGTGCTCGGAGACAGGAGAGAAACTCTCCTACAGTGTCCAGAACCCACGCGGGACGCGAGGCGCGGGGCAGGGACTCCCAACTCGCGCGCTACTCGACTCTAGTCTCCGACTCTGCTCTTGGCCGTCGGGGTGCGGGGTGGGAGGGTGGATGGAGGCGGATTAATCCCTTAATTACGCGGTGATCGGCGTGGCACCTGCTTTCCGCTTGCCCAGTTCCCGGGGGACCCCGGCACTGGGGGGTGGAGAGAAGGAAGAGGGAAGGAGGAGGGCAAGCAGAGGCACGCGCGGTACCCAGGCGCGCCGGCAGGAGAGCGGCACCGTGGCTGGGGCAGCGCGCAGAGGCTGTGGAGGGGCTTACGGCTCCCGGCCCGCGGGTCTCAGACCCAGGGGCTGGGCCCCGAGCCCCCCGCCCCGGTCCCAGTTGGGTCGCGCCATGCTGCGCTACCTGCTCAAAACGCTGCTGCAGATGAACCTGTTCGCGGACTCCCTAGCCGGGGACATCTCCAACTCCAGCGACTTGCTCTTCGGCTTCAACTCCTCAGGGGCGGCGCTCAACCAAAGCCTGCTGTCCCCCGGCGATCCTTCTGTCAATGGTGAGAGCTTGCCCCACGGGGACTTCGGATCCAGGGATGGGGGTAAAGTGGGAGGGCGGCGTGGACGGGGAGTCCAAAGCGCTCCTGCCCCAAGGTCCAGGACCGAGCGGCGCCCCCCAGCGCCTCCCAGGGTGGTGGGGACCGACGGATAGTTTGGGGCTTAGAGCACCTGAATGGGGATATCGGCGGGAGATCGAAGGTTTGGGAGGAGACGGCTGCTGAGTCCATCACTCCTCACCTCCCCAACCGACGCCCACGGCCACCCCAGGTGAGGAGAACCATGGCTGGTGATGGGCATGTCCGGAGTAGGAGAGGCCCGAACCTACGGTAGGGAGGGGAGGGGAGGAGGCGCAGTCGCAGGAAGGCCTGGGCCAAGCCGGGCCACTCGGTGACCCACCCAGGTAACAAGTTTTCCTTCGGGACCCTAAGTTTTCCAAGAACTCACTTAGGACGAGGGCGAGGAAGCCAAAATGTTAAACGCGGTTGCTACAGAGAGCGACAGGAGCGGCGACCATTTCAGGGAAACTTAGAAGTTTGCCCCTCAGAGGTAGAACTCACCGCCAGCCCACCCCGGCAGAGCTGCGGCGGGCGGGCGGCGCCGGCGGCGAGGTCATTACCGCTAATTACGGTGATTAATAAATGACTAAGACAGTGCGCGCTCCCCGAGCGCTGCGGGAGAGCGGCGAGAGGTGACCGCAAGGAACCAAGGGAGAAGCCCGATTGCGCCCCCTGCCGGCCTCTCCGGGAACTCCCGCTTCCCGGACGCCTTTGCCGTTGATTCCCCGCTAGCCCCAGCCTCCAACCCTCCGCATTCATCCAGTCAAATCTACTCTCGCCTGCTGGACTCCAAGGTGGCAAGAAGGGAGACCCGGGCGATGTATGTGTGCTTGTGAGTGGGGTACTCCAGGTGCTGGGGGAGGAGCCCCGGAGCCCTATTAGCATGGTCATTAGCTATTCATTAGCTGCTGTCGAAGCATCTCCAGAGACCGGGAACGACAGGAAGAAATTCCAGGGAAAGGGTGTCTGCAGCTGTGTCTACAGGAATTAGGGGGAAAGAGCCGACGAGAAGGCTGTAGTATGTGTAGAAAGAGCAGAGAGGAAGAAGATGGGAAATGAGCTGGGATTCTTCAACTTCCTGACCCTCCTAGATTTCCAGAAGTCAAGCCCAGAGCCCGCATCACAGATGCCCAAGACACGCGTCTGCTCCTCCAGCGCTCTTACACTCTTTTCACCACACGTTGTCTCACTTAAACTCGAAATTTTTAGGACGAATGTAGGGAAGGCGTTGATGTTCACATTTTGACACTGAGGAAACAAACTCAGAAAGATGAATAGTAATCCAATGGTCACAAAAGCAACGCGAAGCTTGACAATGATAAACCTATTTCCATTACACCTGAAAGTTATGTGAAGGGGGGAAAAAGGAATGTTGGGGCCTGGAAGAATCTAGAGACTGTAAGGACCAAAATAAGGTAAGGTTGGCCAAGGGGGGAAGAGCCCTTAACTAGTGGTAGAATAGTCATACTCATGGAGCCTTCTCCCAAGTGCTTTACATACACATCGCGGTCATGTGACAGCCCAGTCACCGCTCCCACATTATAGAGAAAGAAACTGCGACTCAGAGAAGTTCAATAACTGACCCTAGTTCTTACAGCTAGGAAGGGTCAGCGTCTGAGATTCTACCCCTGGTCAGTTTCACATTCCTTGAGATCTTCAGCCCTGGGTCGCTCATTTGGTGTCTGGTCTGCCTAAACTGGGACTGCGATAGGATGGAGGAAAAGAGATGGGTGAGAAGCAGAGATTTCCCTCTGGAAGGGCGGAAATCGAGAAAAATTCTTTCCTTCTCGAAGTGGGAGGGAAACCGATCTTGTCCCTAAACCAGTTAAATAAACTCTTCCCGGACAGCACCAGCAGGGGCCAACCCGTGCAGCTGTGTCTCGGTTAGAACTTCTAAGAGCCCGGGCTCGGAAATGAAACCTAACCCACTCCGAGGCTGGAAGCAGGAGGTTCCTGCGGATTTTGGAACAGGGTGGGAGGGGCGGGGGCGGCGGCGGAGGAGGGGAGGTAGAGACAGAAGCGCGGAGGGGGTACCTCGTTATTTAAGGACGCCAGGTTACATGAGGTGGCAGCGACGCCTACTGGCCACTACGCGTTACAAATCCACTGCTGATGAAGCTGGTGGGTGTCTGAGCATAGCTCAGCATAGCTGGCTCCAGGATCCTGAATCCCAAACTGCAGAAGATAAAGCGAACAGAAGTCTATGGGCAAGTGAGGGGCACAGCAGAACACGCAGGTGTATGGATCTGAGTGACTCAGGAAAGTAGGGGAATTCCTTTCTTAATTATTCTTAGCCTTTCTTGGCTACATCAACCCATAGAATAATCTGTTGAAAACTATGCCCTCTCAGAAAAGGAGCGTTACGTACTCTTCCACTACCATTTGCGTTTAATTCCTGTGACTTCTAAGGACCCCAACAAATGACTATCTGGGGTGACAGTAAGAAGGACACTGTGTTAATTTATGGACTCCAGGTTAAGGACCCTCTATAATCCTAGGCCCCAGCCCATCATTCACATCTTCCCTTTCCTAAGGGATCCCAGGCCGGGTCACAGTCTCCATTTTGCCCGGGCCGTGCGGAGGTGAAGAACCAAGTGTCGGCTCTGGTGCACCGCATATGGTTGTTAACAGATAAAAGACGATCCGTGAACCAGCGCGGGTAGGGGACTGAAGACCAGCCGCCTGGAGGCGCGGTCCACTTGCCATGGCCCAGTCACAACGCACTTAAACTTGGCAGGAGAGGAGGCAGGAGTCTTAAGCCAGCCTAGAAGTCTGGCTAGGAGCTTGAGTCCCGATTCCTCCACTGATTGGCCTGTCCCTAGGCGTCTCCTTTTCAGCCTAAGAAAGAGCGGGGCATCTGCCGCGAAGGAGATACTCGACCCTACAGAGAGGGTGGGCAGGCGGGATTCTTTTTCTCTCTGGAGCTTCGATCTCTCCTCCAACTTCCCGGTCTGAATGCTCTGCCTCACCCCCTACCTTCTACCCAGGGTCAAGGGTCGGGCCGGAGGACGCGATGCCGCGCATCGTGGAGCAGCCGCCAGATCTGCTGGTCTCCCGAGGCGAGCCGGCCACGCTGCCCTGCCGCGCGGAGGGCCGGCCCCGGCCCAACATCGAGTGGTACAAGAATGGGGCACGCGTGGCTACCGCGCGCGAAGACCCGCGCGCACACCGCCTGCTGCTGCCCAGCGGCGCCCTCTTCTTCCCGCGCATCGTGCACGGGCGCCGCGCGCGGCCCGACGAGGGTGTCTACACTTGCGTGGCGCGCAACTACCTAGGGGTGGCGGCTAGTAGAAACGCCTCGCTAGAGGTGGCAGGTGAGAGTCTCAACGGCAGCTGGGTGCTTTCAGAGCCTGGGGGAGGCGGGAAGGCACCGGGTAATCCGACCCAGAGCCAGTCCCAGTTTCGGCCCATTAAGCTGCTTCCTCTGGGACCACGACCTTAAGTCTCTAAAACCCTCGCCTTGGCCAGTGGAGGACGTGGGCCTGGTATTTTTGCACCTGGGGAAGAGTTCCGGTCTGCGGTGATCCACCTCTCCCCAAAACACTCTCCTGTGTCCTCACCCAGTTACGCCAACCCACACCCTGTTTATTTCTCTAGTCATTCTATTTCTCCTCTGCAGTCCTCCGCGACGATTTCCGGCAGTCTCCTGGGAACGTGTTGGTGGCAGTAGGGGAGCCGGCGGTAATGGAATGCGTGCCCCCCCGCGGCCACCCGGAGCCTTCCTTGTCCTGGAAGAAGGACGGTGCTAGACTCAAGGAGGAGGAGGGAAGGATCACGGTGAGAGGCGGGGCCGCGGCTGGGGATCCACATGGGGCCCAGGGTCAGGACCAGCGACATCCTGAGAGGCGGGGCCCTAGGGAGGGATCTGGGACCTGTGTCAAAGGAGGAAGGACTGAATCTAAACGTCTTGGAATAGCAGGGGGAATATCTTGGAGGTGATTAGGCAGGAAATTTGAATTCAGGGCATCAGTTGACGAGAGGCTGAGAGTCGGGGATAAATCAGCGTGGTTCGATGGAACTGGTGTAAGAATTTGGGGAGCATGACACCCCAGGGGCTGGTAGGAGGTGGTTTGGGTTGTGGGAGAGAAGACACACCTGAGCCCCACCTTGGACAAATCACTTGAGGATTCCTTATCTGATAAGCTGGTCAACTTCTCTGGTCTTCCTTGGCTTGCTGTGACAACCAAATAAACAAATATGCTTTGACGGCTATAAGGACCAAAGTTTCCATTATTACTCTGCAGACTCGTGGAGGAAAGCTGATGATGTCACACACATTCAAGAGTGATGCAGGGATGTACGTGTGCGTGGCCTCCAACATGGCAGGAGAACGGGAGAGTGGGGCAGCCAAACTTGAGGTCTTGGGTAGGCACATGGGGTACACTCCCTGGGAGGGTGTAGCCCAGGGAGTAAGTAGATGTGCAGACCTCCTGACTATTCATTTCCTCCCTCCCCATAGAGCGTCCCTCATTCCTGCGTAGACCAGTGAATCAGGTGGTCCTGGCTGATGCCCCTGTGGATTTCCCATGCGAGGTGCAGGGGGATCCCCCGCCTCGTCTACACTGGCGCAAGGAAGATGGGGAACTGCCCACGGGCAGGTGAGAAGCCCCCTCCTACGGCCTGTAAGGAGACCCAACCAGCTCAAGAATATACCAACCCCTAGAAAACTTGGGGGGTGGGGGACAAAGGCAGATGCCTCTCACTTGGCAGCACAGAGAAGTCTGTACCCCAGAGTTTGTGTCCCCTGTCCTAACCAGTCCCCACCTCCATTCATAAGCCCATGGGTACCAACTTCTGTCACTGCTGAGGTCGACCTTGTCTTTATATACCCTGATCCCAGGGTCTGTCCTGGGGGAACAAGAAGGAGTCTGTAGCCATGACCAACCCAGCATGGGGGTGGGGAGTGGGACAGGTATGAGATCCGGAGTGACCACAGCCTCTGGATCGGGCATGTGAGGGCTGACGACGAGGGGACTTACACCTGTGTGGCGGAGAACCGTGTGGGCCGCGCAGAGGCATCTGGCTCCCTCAGCGTTCACGGTGAGGCCCCACCTGGGACTGCCTGCAGCAGGGATGAGAGGAGGGAAGACGGAGGATGGGTCCAAGTGGAGAATGAGGAGAAAGGACAGAGCGGGAGATATGGGTGTGTTCCCTGAGACTTCCAGAAGGAGAGGAAGGAGGAGAAAGCTAAGCAGGCTTGAGCAAAAGATGGACATCTGCTCCAACTTAAGCCAAGTGTGGACTTCTCTCTCCTGTTCCCTCCATCTGCCTTCTCAGTACCCCTGATTCCCTGTTCCTTTATCTCCCCTCCCTTCTCAGTCCCACCCCAGCTGGTGACCCAGCCCCAGGACCAGATGGCGGCTCCTGGAGAGAGCGTGGCTTTCCAGTGCGAGACCAAAGGAAACCCCCCACCTGCCATCTTCTGGCAGAAGGAGGGAAGTCAAGTAGGTGGCCAGCTGCACAGGACTTGCCACCAGCTTCTCCTCTGGGTCTTAGCCTCCCTCCTTCTACACTCTGCAATCTTTTCTCTGGGGTTCTGTTTTACCTTTGGTCTTCCCAGAAACCCTTGCAGGTCATTTGGGAAGATTAAATAAGAGTGAATATAAAACGTCTGGAACATAACATGTTTAGGTGGTAGGGAATGGTCCTGTATGGTAATTCCTTGGAGAATCTTTCTATTTTAGGCAAGGCTGTCCTGAGGATGTAGCAGATCCAATTAGATCCCTCATCCTCCAGACGCCTGGGGCCTGGGCTGTCACACTGCTCTGGGAAGCGAGTACTGTACCAAAAGCTGCTCAGAGTAGAATGTTACTTGCTCTTCTACTTACAAGGGACTTCCATCAGGGGGAGCTCATAGTCACACACACCCCCACCCCTACCCCCCGCTTCGCTTTCAACCTTAGCAAGCAAACCTCAGAATACACAACTGGAATGAGCATTAACTGAAATTATAACATAGGTAACTCCCTCTAAGGGAAGAGTAGGAATTTTGTCACTGAGAAACAGGGTCAGTATAATAAAATAAGTCTGATTAACCACGTCCCACTGGAAACCAGGCCGCCCATTACTTCATTCCAAATCTACAGCCAGTTTTCCATCTTCTCTAGCATCGGGGACTGCTGCGTTTTAATCAGATCCTTAAATGAATAAAAATGCTGATGGTGGTAGCAGGTGGGAGTAGGTATCAATCAGGGGCTCAGCATGGTGCCATTTATCCTGAGACCCAAACCTGCTTCCCTAGCTTCATGTAGCTAATGTAAAATATTAAATCCAGAAAGAAGAGAAATGTACTTACTGTTATCATGCAATGCATTGAAAGAGTTCCGGTAATTGCTTGATTTAATCCCCATAACTACCCTCTAAGAGTAAAATTTGGGGAAACTGGGGTTCAGGAAGGTTGCCCGAGTTTCTCAATAGAGCTGAGATGTGCACCCCAAAATCATCTAATAAAAATCCCCTGTTCTTGTGAATAGGTTTAACTGGTTTGCCCAAGGTCACAAAACTGGCTGGGGACAGAGTGTGAACTAGGACCTTAGGGATTTGGATTCTGGGGTTGAGAATGGGGATCTCTCCCTGCCAGCTGCCAGCTCATTCCCACCTTGGTTTCTTGCTCTGTCCTCAGGCCTTGCTATTCCCCAGTCAGTCGCTTCAGCCCACCGGGCGCTTCTCAGTCTCTCCGCGAGGCCAGCTCAACATCACCGAAGTGCAAAGCGGGGATGCTGGCTACTACGTGTGCCAGGCTGTCAGTGTGGCCGGCAGCATCCTGGCCAAGGCTCTGTTGGAGGTAAAAGGAGGTATGTGTCCACGGATTTAGGAAGGAAATAATAGCTTAAAGAGATCCGTTTTTCTTGGATTCTATGCAATAAGTCTGCAAGGGGAGAGGCATGTTCCTGAGGCATGTCCTTGAAATTTGGAAATCAGGAACGGAAACCACTAATAGATGGCTGGTCCCAGGCAGAGACTACAGATGGTGATGAAAGCTCCTCCAATATCCAGGGGGAGAGGGAGTGAAGGAGAAGAGGATGAGGACAAGGGGCTGGTTGCTTGCACACAGGATCCTCCACTGAGGTGCCCAAGTTCTTCCTTTCTCAGCCTCCCTGGATGGACTACCTCCCATTATCCTCCAGGGACCAACCAATCAGACACTGGCACTTGGCTCCTCTGTGTGGCTGCCATGCAGAGTGACCGGGAAACCTCAACCTAGTGTCCAATGGAAGAAGGATGGGCAGTGGCTGCAGGGGGATGACCTTCAGATCAACTTAATGGCCAACGGTACCCTGTACATCGCCAATGTGCAGGCGAGTCTCACTCCTGGGGCCCAAGTAACAGAATAGCCACATGGCCCACATGCCCAACTCCATTAGCTGCTGCGACTTCAATGCCATCTCTGCACCTCTGCTCTCAGATCACCTAGAGTGTACAGCATCCTCTTCATCCTTCCCACTTCCTTCCCACCTGGAGGTGGCATATCCACTTCCACCCCCTCGGCCTAACTTGCCCCACTCCCAGTTTGCCAGTCCTCTACCTCTCCTACAGGAGATACACATGGGATCTTACAGCTGTGTGGCCACGAGTTCCATGGGGAAGGCCACCTGGAATGGCTGGCTTAGGAGGCGGGGTGAGCTTTTCTTTTGTTCTCTTGTTTTGCCAGCACCTTTCTCCAAACCTGCTTCAAAGGTGGTCAACACCTCCCCAACGCCCAGGACTGGCTTGATCTTCCAATGCCATGGCCATGGTGGTGGGGAGGAGGACAGAAGGGTGCCCTTGGGAGGCAGATATGAGCAGGAGTTAGTTCACTGTGTCCCCTTTCTACCGTCACCACTGTCACAGCTCTACAGCTCTTCTGGGAAGGAGAAAGGTTACACCGGGGCCATCTTTCCCCCATCCTTCTACTTAAAGATTATCTCCTCACTGCAGAAGAATGGGGAGTGACACCAGACCCCCCTACAGAACCCAGTACCCCTCCGGGACCTCCCTCTCAGCCAGTAGTCACCGAGATCACCAAGAACAGCATTACCCTGACCTGGAAGCCCAACCCACAAGCTGGGGCCACAGCCACCTCTTATGTGATAGAGGCCTTCAGGTATGGAGGAAGTTTTGAATGCAAACCTGGAAAGCTCCAAGGAGGGGCTCCGATGTCCTGAAGGTCTTTGCTGTTGTGGGAAGAGTTTTGCCAGTTCTGTCTCCCAGGGTGAGGAGGTAGTAGGGGCCACAGAGAATGGCTGAGATGCATTAGACAGGTTGGGCACAGAGAACTCTGTTACCTCTTTTCTGTTGTAGCCAAGCTGCTGGCAACACATGGCGGACAGTGGCAGATGGCGTGCAGCTGGAGACGCACACCATCAGCGGTCTGCAGCCCGATACCATCTACCTGTTCCTGGTGCGAGCTGTAGGAGCCTGGGGCCTCAGTGAGCCCAGCCCCGTCTCTGAGCCCATCCGCACGCAGGGTGAGGCCAGGGTCCCCATCCGCACGCAGGGTGAGGCCAGGGTTCCCGGATCATGGGTCTGATATGCAACAATGCCGAGCACACCCCCCCCAAATCATAGCAACTTCCTAGTTCCGGTTCTGTCCTGGGGACCTGGCCTGGAATAAGAAGGGCATGCTTCCCTTTCACTGAGGGAACCAAGAGATGAGGAGAGAGAGAGCGAGAAAGAGAGAGAGAAAGGGAGAAACAG